AAAAAACAAAATTCTAATGTATTTAGATTTGCATTATGATTAGAGTTACATTTTACTATTATTACCGACTAACTTGTATTACACGCCATTATATAGGCTATATGCTAGATTTGAGAATCAGTAAAAATGAATTGTAAAATTGCTCTAATTAACACCATATAATTGCATGCATGCATTATCCAGTGCATAATGCACATAAAACGCACGACCCTCATTGTACACAAAAGCAATTCTCTGATTCTGTTTGTGCAATAATTAATATATTTAATAATTATTCACCAGTGCACTCTCTCACTCACTAACTAACTCACTCACTCTCTATCTAGGATGATAAAATGAGACATGCAGCTGACACTCACCTGAAAAAGGGTCTCTCTGTTCCTGCTCGTTTGTGGGATGCTGTGACAGAAACGACGGCGATCACACACTCATTCATAAAAATGCAACGCACCTCACGAGCGCAGCAGCCAGACGCGAGATCTAAAAATAGCGCGACAGAAGAGATGCAGCAGAATAACCCACCACATCACCATACTGCCTTACATCACTCAAGACATGCTGACAGAATAAAGAATATAACGCAATGAGTGTGATGATCTTTTACAACACGCACATTACAGACATTCTGATACAGATATCAAAGAAAAGATATAAAGCAAATTTTATTTGGCTTTATTTTCATTTCATTTAGACTATCATCAGCATCAATTAAAGTTGAATTGGGGAAAATATATATACTGAATATTGTTTTTACATCGAATAGCCTATTTGTATTCTTACTATATAGGCCTATTTTTTCTATTTTGTATATTTATTATATTTTTAAACATGCAGAAAGTAATTCACATCGCATGACTACAAAAATTCATTTAAAATGTTAAAGAAATTATGACATATAAATGTTAATATAGGCCTAAATGTCATAAAACAGTGCTGTCGGGAATTTTTTTTTTTTTTTTAATTAATTAATTCAAGGAACACTGTCTCTAAGTCTTTATATAGGCTATACAGTTAAATTTGTATAATCCATAAATCCATAAAGAACAAGTGGGTATAAAAATATAAGTTCACAAACCTTTAGGGAATCTTTAGCTTTCTTATTCAAAGAGCCACTAAAACTGTACAATTTTCTTTCAGTCAACAAAACCAAAAAGTTGGGTTTCTTATTAGAATATTTGCATTTATGAATGTGAAATTTGGTTGTCCATGTTGTTTATCAACTACCCATATAGGCCTACTCCATTTACATGTGAGCAATCCCAGCGCAAACTCTTTCATTAAATCTTTTAAAGGGGTCATATGATGCGATTTCAATTTTTCCTTTCTCTTTGGAGTGTTACAAGCTCTTGGTGCATAAAGAAGATCTGTAAAGTTGCAAAGACTAAAGTCTCAAATCCAAAGAGATATTCTTTATAAAAGTTAAGAGTCAGCCACACCTACCTAAAACGGCTCGTTCGAACACGCCCCCACATACCTAC